GAGGGAGGAAAGAAAGAAAGGAGGGAGGGTTAAAGGAAACCAGGTTAGGGCAGTCGCCAGAGCAGAATGCCCAGGCTGAGAGACATTCATGTTCCCCCTGCGGACGAGTCTTAAGGGGCCGTGAAAGAAGCGGCGTGGCTACGCAGAGAGTGGCCGTACCTGGGCGTTTGGCTGAGAAAGGTCTTCAACCCGACCCGAAGGTACCTCACGAGACCGCGGAGGCCAAAGCTCCATTCTCTCGCCGAATCCCACCAAAAGGCGAGCGCCTCCTCCGCCTCCTCCTGGCTTGCGCCGCTACCCGAAACCGTTGCGGACCCCACCGGAAGCGAGAGTGCAAGTCATTTCCGGCAACAACAAAGCGTCCCCTATTTATGATTTCACCGCGCTGCCTCCCCCGTCTGTCTATCGCGTGACGATCCCGGCATTGACGGGCGGGGAGGATGTTGCTAGGAGACCGGGGGAGCGCGCCACAACGGCGCGCGCTTCAGTAATTTGTGAATGGTGCCCTGGCTACTCCGTGCGCGGCTCCGGCGGACCCGCTGGCAGTCATTTCTTGGCGCAAAAGAATAAGTTTTATCTCACTTAAAAATATAACAACTATACAAGCGATCCCTCACGCCTTTGTTTGTACATAAGATCCACGGAGTTGGGGGGATTTTTTTTTGTTTTTTTTTAAAAGTCACTGCACGGGATTGCTGATTTATTTTTTATTTTGCTGCCAAAAACACGCAAACATGTACGGCGCATCATCTATCGGCCTTTCGGGTATTTGCGTTGCTGTTTTCCAGATGGGCTGAGCTCCCACCAACCCCAACTAGCAGCTGAGCCGACAAATTTAAAGCCCCCCCCCGGTTGGGGAGCCTTGATGATGCTCCATTTTTTGTTTTGTTTTTGGAAGAAATACATCCACTCCTTAAAGAGAGAAGAGAGAGAGAGAGAGAGAGAGAGAGAAGCAAGCAAGAAAAAAGAAAAAAAGACAAGGAAAGTTCTCGGTTCGTTTTTTAAAACATCTGGAGCCTGGATTGCACCAAATTGTGAAGCGACAGGCCATTTAACTCCAGTAACTTTCACAACTTGGTCCGCGTGCAACAGCTGCGTTTAAATTCCCTGAACCGCCAATATTGGAAGCCTGCTCCACGGCTACAAAGGGCTCGATCGGGGCTGGCGACCCCCTTTCCCGAAAGCCGGGCGAGGAAAAGCTCGACGCGCAAGAGATCAGCCGCGAAACGCGAGTCTTGCCCAACAGACGTTGCATCCCCACCGCGACCAGGGATCGTCCGCACGCCTGAAGTTGCGAAGGCGACCCGGCCCCGCTCCGCCTGAAGCCTCCCCGAGGCCCCGCCCCTCCCCGCCGCCTGGCCGGGACTGTTGGAACGTCGGCGTCTCCAGGGTGACGCGACGCTTTCCCTTCCACCCTTCCGCGGGACAGGTGTCGTGGCCGAGCCCCCGTTTTCCACGCCGAGACCTCGGGCGGAGAGAGACAGCCGGTGGGGATGCCGCTGAAAGTAGTGGTGGAGCTGCAGATCCATGCGGTGAGAGGGGCTCGAAGCCAGCAAGGGGGAATCTTGCAAAGGTAGCTGGAGCGGGAACTGTTTGCAGCCCCATCCTGGACTGGGAAAATATGCCTTTTTTTTCCTACTTTCAGTGGTTCGTGGGAGGTTGGCGGCCGGTGGGGGAATGGTTGACGGAAGGTTCGTGTTGTTAGTTGCCATGCTATTCTGCAAAACGGGAGTGAGGTTGCAACGGTGAAAAATCACGGCTCAATGCTGAAGACCCTTCATTTGAGAAATTTGGCAAGTCCTGATCTCTGTAATCCAGCTCTGCTGTCACTTTACACGCCATCCCAGTACATTTTTGCAACGTTATTATTCATTCAAATGTGCACTGCTAAAATGAGCTGCTCCGGACACTAGGTTAATAGTGTTGAAATTTGAACCCTAACCCTAACCTCAATCTATAAAAGAAAAATATTCTGTCAAACATTGCCCCACTTATAAATCTTACTTGGTAGATTAACCAAAGGCCATGGGTATTTATAAAATTGCATCCTGATGCTAACCGTTCTTGCAAGGAAACTTATTTCTAACTTTAACTTCAATTTTTGGCCATCAGATTATTTTTCCAAAGGATTGTTGCAGCACTCAACTATATCAGTTTAAACGAACTGTATGCATTAAAACTCTATATAGCAGTGATGGTGAACTTTTTAGAGACCGAGTGCCCAAACTGCAACCCAAAACCCACTTATGTATCGTCGGGTGCCAGGTGGGCGTGGCCCATTGGGTGGGCGTGACTGCGGTGGTAATGGCAGACTGGGTGGGACTAAAAGGTTCAATCAATCAATTCAAACTTTGCGAGAAATTTTTTCCCCGCGAGAAATTGATTGATTGAACCTTTTTTTTTTGCACACGGCGGCTGGGGCCTAAAGCGAAAAGGTTTTATAAAACCCAGCTGAAGGCCTAGGACTCGGGTGACGGCGCGAGTGCCCACAGAGAGGGCTCTGAGTGCCGCCTCTGGCACCCGTGCCATAGGTTCGCCACCACAGCTCTATAGCAAGACTTTTCAACCAGTGGTACGGGTACCACCTGTGGTACATTGGCACCTGGCAGGTGGTATGCAACCATCCTAGAAAAATGGTAGCGGGGGGGAATGAGCTGAACCGGTGGCAGTACCACACAAGCCTGAGCGAGAGATGGTTGGAGCTGCAGGGCTGTCAGGGCTCAGCGGAAGCGCCAGGATCAGCGCCAGACTCCAGCTTGAGCTCAGCGCTATTCCTGGTGCTTCTGCTGAGCCCAGAAGAAGCGCTGATCATCTGGAATGTTGCAGCATCTCCAGGGTCTTGTGATTTACATTCAGATGCTTGGCAACTGATTCATATTTATGACGGTCACAGTGTCCTAGGGTCATGTGAAGTGACCAAAACCTGCTGCAACCACCCAGCAGATGGGGGGGGGATAAAAACCAAACACTCCTCCCCCACTGCCAATCCTCAACAGAAATGCTCACAGCAATGAAAACCTTGGACAAGAGGAAGAGCGCCACCGGGCGGTCAGGCAGGTGTTTTGCTCAGCTGTGGCTTGGGGGGGCACTTTTTTCAGTGCCATTATAACTTCCAACAGTCACTAAGCGAACTGTTGTAAGTCAAGGACTACCTGTACTTCATCACTTTTTTCCTTTTGGGGGGAGGGGTCATCAAGTTTTTGATACCTTGCTAGGCGACTGGTGGTACTCGGATATTGCCATACCCTAAAAGTGGTACAATAGGTGAAAAGCTTGAAAAGCCCTGCTCTATAGCACTAACCCTGATGCTTATTATTAGCATATACTAGGGGTAGGCAACCTTGGCTCTTTTATGACTCGTGGGCCAACTCCCAGAATTCCTGAGCCAGCATTGTTCTCACTGTTAGGAAATTTCTCCTTAGTTCTAGGGTGCTTCTCTCCTTGATTAGTTTCCATCCATTATTTCTTATCTTGCCTTCAGGTGCTTTGGTAAATAGTTTGTCCCCCTCATCTATGTGGCAACCACTGAAATACTGAATCACTGCTATCATATCTCCTCTAGTCCTTCTTTTCACTAGACTAGACATACCCAATTCCTGTAATCGTTCTTCAAATGTTTTAGTCTCCAGCCCCCTAATCATCTTTGTTGCTTTTCTCTGCACTCCTTCTAGCATCTCAACATCTTTTTTATATTATGGTAATCAAAACTGGATGCAGTATTCCAAGCGTGGCCATACTAAGACTTTGTAAAACAGTACTAATACGTGAGCTTGATTCTATCCCTCTATTAATGCAGCCTAGGATTGCATTTGCTTTTTTGGCTGCTGCCACACACTGTTGGCTGCTGCCACACAATCATATTTAAGTGATTGGACTTACAGTTACTGGCATTGAGCCAAGTTTGACCTGGTCTGTACGTACAGTTAGTTTTTCTTGCCTAAGGGTAGGACCTTATTTTTATCTGCATTGAATTTAATTTATCACTGTTAATAAATATTAATATTTCATTTATTACTGTTAATGTTAATACTAATATTAATCAATAATCAATATTAATCAATAATCATCACTTCCCATAAGGATGCATTCCAATCACAGCCCTCATACTAAAGTTTAATTCAGTTTTAAGGAATCTTAACCCAAACCGGAACGCAGTGCAATTTTATGGATTGTGTCTTAGATTTTTGTTAAGGTGAATAATAGGTCAATGCATAGGCAAAAACTTTTATATGTATTCAGTTTTCTTAAACTTAAAATCCATTAAGCTATGATAGGCTTTTAAAATGTTTTAACTGTTTTTTTTTAGTGCTGTAAAGCTGCCCAGAGTAACACAGCCATATAAGTTTGTTTAATAAATAAATAAATAAAATTGGGGAGTATTTTTTTTATTCTTAAAGGGAATCTTCTGTATAGTTTGCAGCTAAAAATGATTACTGTGGTTCACATTTGGATGAATAGAAGCTCAACTCTAACCTAACCACCACTACATTCTCCTAGTTCAAGGAACCCTAAACCTAGCCATATCCTTATCCTTAGGTATATAAATAATATGTACTTAAAGTATTGCTTCAGCACTCTTACCTTCCTCCTAATATCAACCAAAGGATAGCACTTTGCATAAATATTCATGTTCTATTCTCACACTCATTTTTATCATACATTTCAAAAAAAACCTAGCCCTAACCTTAACCTCAGCTTTAGTTTTTCCCCAAAGCATTGCCCCAGAACTCTGCCCTAACTTTAACATCCATTTTAAAGCACCGCTGCGTCCAAAATCTCACCCTAATGCTAATCCTCACATTTAATTTTAGGATTAAACATTTTGAATCCTAACTCTATGTTTACTCCCCCCTTATGTCTAACCGTTAAAAGCACTCTAAAGAGAAGCACAACAATCACTTGCAGATGGAATACTATGACTCCAGCAGGTAGAACATCTATCATCCTTAGCCAGTCTAACATTACATTCATGCGGTATCATGCAGCCATGTGTAACACTTCCTATGCCAGGTCACAGCAAGTCATGCAAAGTATGGGATGGCTTCCCACCTATTTTATCTGACAGATCTTCTTTCTCTACCATGGCAAATATTTCCAAGAAAATATTGAATCAATCCCATGTCTGCGTTACTGTGTCTGCAATTATTCATAATTTTACAAATGATGGAATATGTAGCAATTAGATAATGCTATATGTCAGGGGGTTTTCAAACCCGGCCCTTTTATGACTCATGGACTTCCAACTCCCAGAATTCCTCAGCCAGCATGCCTGGCTGAGGAATTCTGGGAGTTGGAAGTCTATGAGTCATACAAGGGCCGAGTT